GATTCAATGCTATCTCCATCAAACTACCATTGACTGTCTTAACAGAATTAGGAAAAAGTACTTTAAATTTCATATGGAACCAAAAAAGAGCCCATATACCCAATATAATCCTAAGTAAAAAGAACAAAGCTGGAGGCATCATGCTACCTGACTTTGATCTTAAAAAAGCTTTCACTTTTTCATTGTTGAGTATGACGTTAGCTGTGGGCTTTTTGTATATGACCTTTGTTGTGTTGAAGTACAGTCCTTCTATACCTAATTTGAGAGTTTTTAACATGAAGGGATGCTGATTTTTGCCAAATGCTCTTTTTGTATCAGATAAGATGATATGTTTTTCCTCTATTATATTAATGTGGTATATCACATTTATTAATTTGTCTATGTTTAACCATCCTGTATCCCAGAAACAAATCAGATTTGATGATAGCAAATGATCCTTTTAATGTGCTATTGATTTGGGATTCCTATTATTTCATTATGGAATTTTACTTCTATGCTCATCAGGGACATATGCCTGTAATTTTATTTCCTTGTCTGGCTTTTATATCAGGGTACTGCAGACCTCATAAAATGAGTGTGAAAGTATTTCTTTCTACTAGACATTTGGAAGAGTTTGAGAAAGACTGGTATCAGTCTTTACATATTTAGTAGAATTCATTAGTGCCACTATCAGAGCCTGAGATTTTTGTCCTTTTATTTTTAGTTTTCATATAATAATTGTACATATTTATAAGATACAGAGTGTTATTTGGATATGTGTATGCAATGTGTAATGATCAAATCAGGAAAATTAGCATATATCCATCACCTCAAATATTTATCATCTCTTTGTGTTTCAACATTCAGAATTCTCTCTTGTAGCATTTTTAAATAACATACAATTAATTATAGTTAACCATATATACCCTGTAATAGTATGTAGCAACATAACTCCTTCCTCCTATCTAGATATAATTTTGTGTCTCTTAACAAACCTCTTGCCATCCTTCCCTGCCCTGACACTTCCTAGTCTCTAATAACCACAGTTCTACTCTCTACTTCCATGAGTTTAAATTTTTAGCTCTACATATGAGATGATGTGGTATTTATTTTTCTGTGCCTGACTCATTTTGCTTAGTTCAGGCTCATCCATGTTGCTGTGAATGACAGAATTTCATTCTGTGGTTGAATAGTATTCCATTAGGTATATATTATATACCATACTTTTTTGTCCATCTGTTGATGATTATTTAAGTTGATTCCTTATTTTAGCAACTGTGAATAGTGCTTCAATAAACATGGAGCTGGGGTGTGGGGAGGGTGCAGGTAGTCCTTTGCTATTCTGATTTTCTTTTCTTTGAATAGATTTCCAGTGGTGGGATTGCTGGATCCTGTAGTTGTTCTACTCTAGATTAAGACACCTCCTGTCTGTATCGCATAAGATCCGCACAACTTTACATTCCCATCAAGAATGTACAAGTGTTCCACCTTATCCATATCATACCAGCATCTGTTATTTTTGCCTTTTTTAGAATAGACATTTTAACTGGGGTGAGATAATATCTTATGGTTTTCATTTCCATTTCCCTGATGACTTTTGATGTTGAACATTTTTTTCATATTTTTTGGCTATTTGTATGTCTTTTATTTTTATTTGCATTTTTTGAAAAATGTCTATTCAGATCCTTTGCCCACTTTTAAAGCAAATCATTTGGCTGTTGCTCTCAAGTTGTTTGAGTTTCTTATATATTTTGCGTATTTGCCCCTGGTTACATGAATAGTTTACAAATATTTTCTCCCGTTCTACAGATTTTCTCTTCACTGTGATTGTTTCCTTTGCTGTGGAGAAGCTTTTTAGTTTGATATAATCATTTTTTTATGTTTTATTTTATTGACTGTGCTTTTGAAGTCTTAGTTATAAAATCTTTAGGTAGATCGATGTCCTGATGCTTTTTCCTGTGTTTTTGCCTTGTAGTTTTACGACTTCAGGACTTACATTTAAGTCTTTACTCAATTTTGAGTTGATTTTTTTATACGGTGAAAGATGCAGGTCTAGTTTCATTCTTCTGCATGTGGATATCTAGTTTTCCTGGTACAACTTATTTTCTGCTTCTATAAGTTTGACTATTTCAGATACCTCATATAAGTAAAATTGTGCAGCATTGTCCTTCTGTAACTGACTTATTTCACTTCTGTCTATCTGTGTTTTTGCAAATAATAGACTATCCTTTTTTCAGGCTAGATACCAGTCCACTGTATGTATACACCACAATCTCCTATCCATCCATCTCTTGATGGTTATTTAGGTTGTTACCATATTATGGCTGTATTAGTCAGGGTTCTTTAGAGGGACCAAACTAATAAGAGATATATATGGGAATTTATTAAGTAGTATTAACTCACATGATCACAAAGTCCCACAACAGGCTGTCTGCAGGCTGAGGAGCAAGGAAGCCAGTCCAGGTCCCAAAGCTAAAGAACTTGGAGTCCAATGTTTGAGGGCAGGAAGCATTCAGCATGGGAGAAAGATGTAAGCTGGGAGGCTAAGCCAATCTAGCCTTTTCACATTTTTCTGCCTGCTTTTTTTGCTGGCAGCTGATTAGATGGTACCCACCCAGATTAAGGGGTGGATCTGCCTTTCCCAGGCCGTTGACTCAAATATTAATCTCCTTTGGCAACACTCTCACAGATATACTGAGGATCAATACTTTGCATCCTTCAATCCAATCAAGTTGAGTCAGTATTAACTATCAAAATGGCTATTGTGTATAATGCTGTGATAAACATAGGAGTGTATACATCTGTTTGAGATCCAGATTTCAATTTTTTGGAATATATACCCTGGAGTAGGATTGCTGGATCATATAGTAATTGCATTTTTTTTAGGAAGCTTCATACTATTTTCCATTGTTTAAAATAAAATTAAGAATGATTGGGCTGGACGCCCATGTGAGCCACCGCGTCCAGCCCAATCATTCTTAATTTTATTTTAAACAATGGAAACATACACTCCTATGTTGACCAGGATGGTCTAGATCTTGACCTCGTGATCCACCCTCAATCGGCCTCCCAAAGTGCTGGGATTACAGGCTTGAGCCACCACGCCCGACCATCCTGGTCAACATGGTGAAACCCCATCTCTACTAAAAATACAAAAAATTAGCTGGGCATGGTGGTGCGTGCCTGTAATCCCAGCTACTCAGGAGGCTGAGGCAGGAGAATTGCCTGAACCCAGGAGGCAGAGGTTGTGGTGAGCCGAGATGGTGCCATTGCACTCCAGCCTGGGTAAAAAGAGCAAAACTCCATCTCAAAAAAAAAAAAAATTAAGAATGATTTTGGCCAGGCAGTATGGCTCTCACCTGTAATCTCAGTACTTGGGGAAGCTGAGGCTGGTGGATCACTTGAGCCCAGGAATTTGAGACCAGCCTGGACAATATGGCAAAATTTTGTCTCTACAAAGAATACAAACATTAGCTAGGCATATTGGCACACACCTGTAGTACCAGCTACTTGGGAGACTGAGGTAAGAGAATGGCCCAAGCCCAGGAAGTCAAGGCTGAAATGAATTGTGATCACACCACTGCACTGCAGCCTGGGTGACAGAGTGAGACCCTGTCTCAAAAAAAAAAAAAAAAAAAAAGAATGATTTTAACAGTACCAGTACAGTAATGCAGTGTCAAGTATTTGTTTTTACATTTACCATGATAAAGTGAGTTTGTACTTTCATATTCTTTTATCATTTAGCATCCTTTTGTTTCAACTGTCATATACTTTTATGTTGTCATTTAGCATTCTTTTGTTTCAACATGAGAATTTCTCTTTAGCATTTCTTTTGAGGCAGATGTGATGGTGATGAATTCCCTCAGGTTTTATTTACCTGGGAACATCTTTATTTTATTTTGTTTTGAGACAAGATTTCCTCTGTCACCCAGGTCAGAGTGCAGTGGCATGATTTCGGCTCATTGCAGTCTCCACCTACTGGGCTCAAACTGTCCACTTAAATCTCCCAAGTAGCTGGGACTATAGGTGCACATCAAAATGCCTGGTTAATTTTTGAAGAGATGTGGTTTCATCATGTTGCTGAGGCTGGTCTCAAACTCTTAAGCTCAAGTGATCCACCAGCCTCAGCCTCCCAAGTACTGGGATTACAAGCATGAGCCACCACATCCAGCATTATCTGGGAGTGTCTTTATTTTAAAAAGACAGTTTGCTGGTATAGAATTATTGGTTGGCATTTTTTCCCCCTCTTAGCCCTCTGAATATATCATCCTTCTCCCTTCTGGCCTACGAGGTTTCTTCTGAGATATCCACTGATAGTCTTATTAGAGATCCCATTAATTTACTCATTCATTTTTTCATTTTTTTTTTTTTTTGAGATGGAGTCTTGCTCTGTTACTCAAGCTGGAGTGCAGTGCCACAATCTCAGCTCATTGCAACTAGAGGTCCCTTTTATGTGATGGGTCATTTCATATAAAGTGTGCTTTCTCTTACTGCTTTCAAAATTTTCTCTCTGTCTCTGACTTTTAAAGATTAATTAAGTAATTTTATTGATACAATTATAGACATTTATAGGATACATCTGATATGTATACAATGTTTAATTATCACATAAGGGTTATTGGGATATCTATAATCTCAAATACTTATCATTCCTTTGTGCTTGAAATATTCCACATCTTCTCTCCTAGCTGTTTTGAAATATAGAATAAATTATTCTTAACTATAGTCACCTTACTGTGCTATCAAACACTAGAACTTATTTCTTCTCTCTAACTGTATTGTGATAATTCAATCATAGCGTGCCTTAAAACAGACTTCTTTGGGTTCTATTTGGTGTCTATTTGGGTTCTGTTTGGTGTCCTTTAAGTTTTATGAGTCTGGATATCCATTTCCATCCTCAAGTTTTGAAATTTTCTTGTAATTATTTTTTAAAATAAGCTTTCTACCTCTCTCTCTCTCTCTCTCTCTCTCTCTCTCTCTCTCTCTCTCTCTCTCTCTCTCTCTCTCTGTCTCTCTGACAGAGTCTCGCTGTGTCACCAGGCTGGAGTGCAGTGGAACATTCTGGGCTCACTGCAACCTCCACCTACTGGGTTCAAGCAATTCTCCTGCCTCAGCCTCCCAAGTAGCTGGGACTACAGGTATGTGCCACCACACTCAGCTAATTTTTTGTATTTTTAGTAGATATAGGGTTTCACCATGTTAACAGGATGGTCTCAGTCTCTTGACCTTGTGATTCGCCTGCCTTGGCATCCCAAGGTGCTGGAATTACAGGCATCAGCCACTGTGCCTGGCCACCTCTCTCTCTTTTTCCTCCTTAGGTTCCCATAATATATATACTGGTTTGTTTGGCAGTATTTCACAAGTCTCTTAGGGTTTCTTTACTGTTTTTTTTTTAATTTTTTTTCTTCTGATTAGATGATTTCAAATGACCCATCTTCAAGTTCATTGATTTTTTTTATGCTTGATGAATTCTGCTGTTGAAGCTTCTTATTAAATTTTCAGTTTAGTTATTATATTCTTTAGCTCTAGAATTTCTGTTTGGTTATTATTTACATTTTTTATCTCTTTGTTCATTTTCTCATATTGTTCATGTGTCATTTTTCTCTGATTTTGTTTAGTTATCTATGTCCTCTTATAGCCCACCAAGCTTCTTAAGATGATTATTTTCAATTATTTATCATGCAATTTATAGATCTTTATGTCTGTAAGATTGGTTACAGAAGATTTATTTTGTTTCTTTGCTTGTGACATATTTCTCTGATACTTCATGTTCCTTGTAGCTTTGCATTGGTGTCTCTACATTTAAATAAGCAGCCATGTTTTCTAGTATTTACAGATTGGATTTAGCAGTGAAAGACCTTTAACAATCAGCCTGGCTAGATATTTCATGAATCTCCCAGAACTTTTTTATGGATGTGCACGTTCTGCTACTATCTCTTGCCTTGGGGAGAAGTCTCAGGATTGTACTTCTTCTCCCAGTCCTGCAGAGTTTTGCTGGGTGCTAAATGCTGCCTTATCCTTTTCTCTAATACAGTGCATTGATATGCTAGGGCATGAGGTACAAGCTCAATTTCCCTTCCACTATTCTGAAAAGAAAATTCAGATTGTGTGCATTTCCCCAATTGCATTAAGCCATGCCAGGTACTGAAAGTCATCCTCTCCTTTTCCCTAGGGCAGTGCATTGAGATGCCAGGATGTTGAGTGCAAGCTCCACTTCTCTCTATTCCTCCTTCAGAAGTAATCTCAGGATTGTGTGACTTCTCCCAATCCTTCAGAAATAAGCTAGCTGCTGAGACACATGTTATCTGCATATCTGTGCCATCTACAGACAAAAGCATAGCATCTGCTAAGAACTGTGACATCACTAAGATCCTTGCCACTGCTAGGGGCCATGCTTGTTGCTGGGGGTTGTGCCAGCCGGGAGGGATGACACTGGCAGCTGCAATCTGTGCTGGGAGCTGTGACCAGCACCAACAACTGCAATTAGTGCAATAAGTGCTGGCACTGCAACCCATGCTGGATATCAAGGGCTGCATGACTGTCAGAGCTTGCAGGCTTCTGAAAGTCTCATCAGTTGCAGGGAGACCCACCAAGGACTGGGAGTTGTGTGCTGAGGCCATGATGGCTGCTCTTAGGTGTGTAGGTCTGTTGGAGACCATATGGCTGTTGGAGCCCACACTGGCTGTTGGAGGCCATGCCAAATGCTGACAGCTACCCATCCCAAGTCTGTTATTAGCTATGCATAGGTATTCCAACTATGCTGAATCCTTCGGTCCTTTGAATGAGTCAAGACAGTAGCAGTTCTCTTGGACAGTGCCCTATAAGGTGGGGATGTTGGATGTACCCCTTTCTCTCCTTTCTCCTTGGAAAAAATTGTGGGCCAAGAGGATCTCTCTCAGTGATGAGCTATGCCAACTTGAAGGAGGGCGATTATAGGCAAAGTGAAACTACTCTTTCCTACCTAATTCAATGTGGCCATTCTTGGTTCTGTGCTCTTTTAGGTTGCTGCAACTTCTGCACTAGATTCTGGTATTCTCACAAAGCTGAAATGTGTGCCACAAGAAGGGAGATAAATATCCTTATTCACAGACAGCCTGAGTAGATGAAAACCCAGTCTAAAAACATGTTCATCAGACAAGGAACATAAGAGAAGCATGTTCCTGGACAGTATAGGAAGAAATAAAGGTCTATAGAAGAGCCTTTGAGCTGGAGAAGGAACATGAGATTAGCTGTCATTAGGTCCCTTTTCTATCTCAAATTCTATCACTCCTCATACATCTATATGTCATGCTCATACGTCCACCACACACCTTTGTGCATCTTTCTTCTGCTAGAAATATCTTTTCTTCTTTCCTCTTTTACAAGTCTTATAAGTCTTCTCACTTAAGATCCAGTTTGTATGTTGTTTCTATGACTCTCATAATAAAGTTGCTGTCTCTTCTTACTCCCAGAGTCTTTGTATACATTTTTACCATAGAAGCAACCACACTTTGGTACAACCATTTACAAGTTTTTCCACTATTAGACATGGTTTTATGTCAACTTTTGTCAATATCTACCTGTGGGATCTGGGCCAAGTGGTATTGCCTCTTTGAGTCTCACCTTCTGTGTAAGATGGCAAAGATAAACTAATTGATCCCTCAGGGACCTTCCAGCCTTACAGTTCTACTTTTTAATTCCACGGCCCTTTGATTTATAGCAAAACAAGTCGTGCACTTGAAATGGCTAGTTTTATGTGTCTTGCGCCATAATATGATCTCTGTGGGAGAAAGTCCCAAAGTGAAGACCAGGGACCAGAATGCTGAGGGATTCAGGTGGGGAAAGAGAAATTATTCTTGGTGCCTCCAAGTGGTACCAACAGAAAGTTAAGAAAATTACAGAAAGTCACATATGTTTTCTGGTTGCCAACTATTCCAAACTGTGCTTCATTTGTAATTGGTAAAATTTATACACTTCAACTGAGGCACAGAGAAATACCTTTCTAAAAAGCTGCCTATTTCTGAACTCAATTTTTTCTGCAACTGCTATTTCCAATGGCACTGATTTTTCTCCTTCAAGTTGTTGTATTCATCTTTGTCTTAAAATTTGTATCATTTGTGTCAATATTTAGCCAGATTCTCAATAGATTGACTCAATCCATCCATTTGAAGTACTAACTTTTTATTTGGTCTATCATTCTCTTTCTCTTTTCCCATAAGATGGCATTTGGAAGCAGCGGAAAACTTACATTTAACATCACAGGTGATCAGGGAGTGTGTCTAGTCTGTATATATACACTGCTGTTGACCCCTGGTCTGTATATACCGCTCTAATGTCTGACTTTGTTTGATCTTTGAGCACAGCCTCTTTAATTCAGCAGCCACTGGTCTTTGGAATCCTGTGCTAGCATCTCTTAAAATATGAGTGGTCCTTCCTGATCTTTTAGGCATAATGCTGGTGTCTGCTAATGAGGACCACATACTTTGCTGTTAACTCCAGTTCTGAGGTTCCTGCACCTTGCAGCCTTGACATTCTGACCCCAGGTTTATCTCCCAGTTGACTACATTTTTCAGCACTTCTAGTTCCATCTCACAATTAGTTTAACTCTTAACTGTTTATCTGATTCCACTTGAGACTTAAGATGCCACCCTAATGTCCACACAAATGGGGACCTCCATCAGCCACCTCTGGCTTATCTAGTACCGTGTTGGGTCATAATGACACATTCCGGAGAAATGGAGCACCATCTTTGTTGTTCTAAAATCCCCTCTCAACCAAATAGATTTAGGTGATTCTATTTTATCATTACAGTTTCCCCCTTCCTAAAAAATATTTTTTCTTGCCATTTTCCAGGGGTAAAAGCCTCAATCTCATGTTCTAGTTTCAATGGTTTAAGGATTGCTGGGAATTGAGGGGGTAGAGAATCTCTAAGGGACTCAAAAGGGGAAGAAATTGGATGCATTTCAAAATGTATTACTCTACCATAGTTAGAGAACATGTCTGTTGAGGTGAAGCCATTTTTTTCCTTATGTTCTTAATTCCAAATTACCCTTAGCTCTCTTCAAGCTGCACAGGGTTGCAAACTCAAGCATCGTTGAGTTTGCCTCCTCCAAAAGGTCACTGAAATACAGAGACAGGGATTAAGGCTGTCACTTACTCCTGTCAGAATTCCCAGTATGCATGTCTGAAGGCAAAACTCCAGGTTAGATAGTGGGAGTATTCAGCTTTGAGTTTCAATCGACCCAGAAAATTAGTCAGTTTGTTCATCATTCAGATTCAAGGTGATTGGGTTCAAGTTTCTTCCTTATTTAAGCCCAGAATGACAGGCTGCCTCTGGCTTCTCACCTTTCCTCTTCATAACCTGTGGGCTTAGTTAAAATTGGTTTCTTCAAAGTGAAAAGAATAAAGACACCTTGGATAAGGTTGTTAGAGTATTGATCCTAAACTTTAGAAGACAAGTAAGGATAAAGATAAAACCCTGTTAAAGTCCAACAACTCTTCCCCAGCTAATTCAAAGTCTTTGTGTTCAGAGAAAATTTTTTTAAAATTTGTGCTCTTCATTTATAGTGGATAGAGATAATACAGAACTATATTTAGTGTCTGATGTGATGAAATTAGATAAAACAAAATAATGACCTATCTTACACATATTTTCATCTACAGTCTCTTCATTCGGTTATAGCTAAAACATTGGACAATTGCTTTGGACTTCTCAGCACCCAGTCTTTCCTATCTGGAATGAATTTCAAAAAGGAGAAGCTGGTCCAACATTCTGCATTAGAACCTGAAGGCCAGGCAGATACTCCGTCTTGACGATCATGTGGCAGCTAGGAAGGTGGACATGAGACCTAGACTCAGCCAATCTGATGCTACATTAGGGACTTTGAATCCTGAAGATAACACACAGAATAGGGGTGCCTTCTTGTGGTGACTGTGGTGGGTCTAGGGTCCTACAATGTGGCAGTGAGTCTGGGGAGGGGCACGGTCCAGCAGCAGTGGTTGTGGATGTCGTGACGTGAACACGCTCTGTCTGTGGTATGATCTTTAGTAAATCTTGTCTCTTTGTACGGTTGCCTCCAACCCTCCTTATCAATTTTAACATTTTTGGATCTCCTTATGATAAATTACTTCTCTGTTAAGATAAGCAGAGTTAATAGAGGTGGTTGCAGCTAAGAAGCCTGGCCGGTGCAGAGAAACTAAGCCCAAGGTGAAATGCACCTCTCAGCTCATCTTCCCCTTTCAGCAACCTGAGCCTGCACACAGCAGCCTGACATCCTAGCCATTCAGACAAGCAACTGACTCACACTTAGTTCTTTGAAACATGTCTTAAGAGGTACATTGGCAAACATGATCACTGTGGGAAGTTGTTGGGAATTTTGGAGGGTCTGCAAACCCAGATGGTCTGAAGTAAGCAGGAATATTGCAGAAGAGATTTCTGTCTATGAG